AAAAAAAAAAAAAAGAAATAGGATCTTACATACAGAAAGAAATGGCCTTGGCTGAAAAAAAAATAAAAAACAGGCCAACACTGACATGGTAGAAATGATACTATCATCTTTTAAAATGCTAATAATGAAGACTAAAATTCCATGTAACAATTGGTTCTGGATTTCGGACACATTCTGTAAGGTAGCCCATTTTAGGTACTCAGATTCAGTAACTGTTGCCCTGTAATGCATCATTTTACCAGTTAAAAGTTATGGTAAGAGTTTTAGTAGCAGCTTAGTGGCCATTCAAAGTTATGGCAGGCTCCCCTAAAGCTACTTACCATCCAGTTGTGACATTAGGACTGCTGCAACGCTCTCAGGATCATTCACCCTTAACAACAGAAGGATAGAATCAAGATCACATGAAGTATTAATACCACTTTACAATGCCTTGGTAAGGCCACACTTGAATACTGCATCCAGTTTGGGTCACCATGATGTAAAAAAGATGTTGAGACTCTAGAAAGAGTACAGAGAAGAGCAACAAAGATGATCAGGGGACTGGAGGCTAAAACATATAAGGAACGGTTGCTGAAATTGGGTATGTCTAGTTTAAGGAAGAGAAGGACGAGGGGGGACATGATAGCAGTGTTCCAGTATCTCAGGGGCTGCCCCAAAGAAGAGGGAGTCAAGCTATTCTCCAAAGCGCCTGAAGGCAGGACAAGAAGCAACTGATGGAAACTAATCAAGGAGAGAAGCAACCTAGAACTAAGGAGAAACTTCCTGCAAGTTAGAACAATTAACCAGTGGAACAACCTGCCTCCAGAAGCGGTGAATGCTCGAACACTGGAAATTTTTAAGAAGAAACTTGTCTGACATGGTATAGGGTTTCCTGCCTGAGCAGGGGGTTGGACTAGATGACTTCCAAGGTCCCTTCCAACTTTATTATTATTATTATTATTATTATTATTATTATTATTATTATTATTATTATTACTACTACTACTACTACTACTACTATTATTATTATTATTATTATTATTTATCACAATGGCACTCCAGCACCTCAACTATCCCTCCCCCATTGTCCCCCCTCATTCCCCACAGGCCTTGGGACTGCTTCCATCCAACCAGGTGCCACACCCTCCTCCTCACTTTACTTTTGAAGATCTCCAGAGCTTGGGTTAGGGAAACTGAGTGGATCATTTCGTTGTGCAGCTACATGGTGTAATTCCAAAACCGGATGCCACTCTCTGTGTGGCTGCACTGAATTGAGATTGCTTGGGAAATGATGGCTACTTCTGGATTTGTGCCATGCGGTTTTGCAATAAAGCAATCTGTTCTGCTTCCCTAATAATGACTCTGCATACTCATCTGATAAGCTTTAGACTACTAGAGATCTTCAAAATATAGGCGGACTGAGGAGCACATGACATGGACTTTGTAATTTGTTACTTTATATTTTACTTTGTATTTTAAACATAGTTACTTTGTATTGTGATTTGACTTACTTTTCTTTCTTTTAAAATGGTGGTAAGGTTTTATAAAACCTTATTAGAGTGGAATGTAGGAAAATTTCTTATCCTGTGGTTGTATGGGTTGATTAGACAGCTTCTAACATCCCTAAACTGAAAAGATAAGTTACAGAAGGATGGCTGGATACTATCTCCTGATAAGAAAAAGGTTTCTTAGTGTCAACTGGCATTTGGTTATCTAATTTCAAACGATCTTTGTGGTTGATTCACTGTGCAAAGGAGGGGTTCCTTTTATCTTATCAACCAACTTTCCTCTTTCATTTTTTCTTTGTTATGTTGACTCTTTGAATGAGAGGAATCCCATTTGTCTGAATATTCTGATAAATCGTAATAGAATGATCTTCCTGACTCCGTCTGTCTCATTGGAAAATATGCATGCCAAGGCACGAGCCTAAAAAGAGCCATATTTGGCCCTCAATTGACAGATGATGGGGGTAACGAGGACTAAGCCTTGCAGAGACATAGCAGGGGGGAAGCTTGCAGGAAAATGAGGAAGGCAGGTCTAAAGGCTATGGGGACCCTGAGAGGCAAGAAGCAGAGTAACAAGGTGTTGTTGCTGTATGGCACGGGTGTCAAACTTGCCACGTCACGTTCTTGTGGAAAACGAAAGAACTCTTACGAACTCCAGAGGGGTTTAGCAGAGAAGTTTATTTGCGCAAGGTTCAGAGCATATTAGAGATAGGCTCAGGGATTGTGGGTTCCAGTCCCATCTGGGGTGCCAAAATTCTTGTGGAAAACGAAAGAACTCTTACGAATTCCAGAGGGGTTTAGCAGAGAAGTTTATTTGCGCAAGGTTCAGAGCATATTAGAGATAGGCAATTCTGAACGAGGAGGGCGGGATTAGACTTCAGTTTTTATACTACCCTCCTTAAAGAACAAAGGGCTACACATTGAAATACAGACTGTGATACATTAGGAGCGTTTCTCACAGGCATACAATGGAAGGTTTTGCTACATACAAAGTATCCATGTGCAAAGCGCATTTGGTTGCCACATATTACTGACAGAGAACTTTCCCAGTGAATTTTCCCAGTGATTATGCATTACATCATTGTTCTAGCAATTATGCAGACACATCATTATTGCAGTTATGCAGACAAATCATTATTCTAATAATTGTTCAATTTACTACATTAACGTGACGTCGGTATGATGAAACCGGCCCGCGGGCCGGCTGTTTGACACCCCTGTTGTATGGAGACCTAGGACAGGCAGGCCTGGGTCTGCTCTGCCCCCCCCAAGGCCTTCCCATCTGAAGCACCCCATGGTTTGCTTAATAACCCCCATTCATTTTACGTCCATATGGGGGAAAGCATGGAACGGGGGTCATTAAGCAAGGCCATCTCACTTAACAGGCATCACTACTAGCAACCTTAATGGGCAGGCTCCATTACGATCGTAAGTTGAGGACTCCCTGTATATTTTTGACCAAATAAAAAGTCCATCCTGTCTGGCAATCAATATAGATTTCACAAGTATGAAAGTAATGGATTATGTCACCCTTTTTCCCGGTCGAGTTTGTATCTTTGCAAACCTACACAAGACTTCCAGAATAGAATATATTCCCCATTGTTGTTCGTCCATCGATTTCGATGAAGACCTTGACATCTTATGGATTATGGGCCATCAGTAGTGTGTCCGTAGATGGCTGATGAGACCGATGTTAGCACGGAATGTTCTGCCACATACTGAACAGAGAACAGGTGTATGGGGTGTTCAGGGAGGGGTAGCACCTCTGGTGGAAGGCATGTCGTGCCCTTTTTTTAGGGCAGCTCGTACACCTTTGGTCCCCACCTGACACTCAGCTCTCACTTGTGGCTCCTAGTAGCTGTAACATGCGCAGCGGCCACACCCCGGGCAACAGCTTCGACAGGCTGGCCAAACCAAGTTGAGAGTAGCCGTTGTGTCTTCGACATTCGGTGAGCAAGGGATTTGTCTATCCCAAGCATGTGAAGACAGACTCTGGCAGATTGAGCGGATGAGACCTATTAAAATAGGACCAACGATCATGAAGGCAGTTTCTGCAAGCGACGTGGTACGCTGAGAGCACGGCAAGACACGAAAGATGCCCTGGTGAACCACTGCGCCCAGCCCATCTCCAACTGTCTCGACTTTTGTCCTGCCATTGGAACAAGATGGAATCTGGGAAGAGAGAGTGAGGCTGACTATGCGCACCTCTCCCTCACTTTAATCCAATCCACGCGCAAGTCTTGACATCTTGACTTTCCCTAACTCCCACAAATATTCCTAGGGTTGCCAGGTGTCCACTATTTGAGTGGACAGTCCGCTTTTTTCACATTATGTTCACTATTTTTTTTCACAAAATAGTGGACATTTTTTTTATTCAAAAGCTTTATGACGAAATGGTACGTAATCTAAAGCTGTACAGTCTACTTTTTTTACTACTTAACCCCCCCCCCCCCTGCTTGTCCACTATTTTTTGGAAGCAGACCTGGCAACCCTAAATATTCCCCATTATTTAGTTGATGAATAGACTACTTCTACTTATAAAAAAAGCTTTTTGTTAAAAAGAAAAAATGCTTTCCTAATCTTCCAAAGGAGATATGGAGCACCTTTATTAAAAGGCTAATAATTAAGCCTAAGATTAAAAACTAAGGAGGAGAGAAAAAGCCCCAGAGCGCTTTTCCGTCCCTCACAGAAATGACAGTTGAGCAACCGACGGAGAAGCCCCGCCCCGTTCGACGCAGCTGTAAAATAACAGAGGGTGTGTGTGTTTGTGTAGGGAAATAAAGAGCAAATCCCATTGGCCAAGAACAGAGCTTGGCGTCACCGTCAGCCAATAAGCATCAAGTGCTTTGAATGGCAAAACAACCGAGACCAGGGATGTCTGGAAAGGCAGAACCTCTTCTATCCAATCGGCGCTCACCCACCGCTGGCCAATCAGAGAGCAGGCATTTGGGCGGACTTTTCAAACCGAGTTAGTTTGGGTGAATCTTGTCCCTTTAAAGGAGTGATTCGACAAAGTTGGCGTGTCCTTCCGCTTCTCTTGCCCCAGGAGAAGCTCAAAGGAACTCCCTTGACATCCGCACAGGCTTCCTTAACGTGGAGGGAAAAATGGCTAATAAATATCCCACTGCAGAAACTAAGGAGAAAAAAAAGACCCTTTCTTTTCCATTTTTTAACCTTTTCATTCCCTCCCCTTTTTTTTGAGCCGGGGGGGGAGAAAAGGAGCGTCCCGTCACTGGGATGTAGATCCCTCCGCCTTAAAAAAAAAAAAAAAGAAAGAGGAAGAAAGGAGAGCAAAACAAAAGCGGAGGGTCACGTGACGGAAAGGGGGCGGAGCCGCCGGACCTGGGAGGGCGGACTCCATTTTGAAGCGGAGGCTCTCAGGCGCTTCTGCCTGCCTCTCCCAGTAGCGGCGTCGCGGGGCGGGCGGGAGAGCCATGGTGCAGCTCGGACGCTGAAATCCCGGCGGGGGGAAGAGCTGGGACTGGAGGGCGGACCGGGCAGCGGGGAGGGGGCTGAATGCGGGGCGGCTGGGTCGGTAGCGACGAGGCGCTGCCGCTGCGGCTCTGGTGGTCGTTGCTGCGGCAGCGGCGGGGATCGGTCGCCTCCCTTCGCTTCAGCCCCCCATCTGCCTCCTCCGGCCCTTCCGACCGCGGAGAAGGGAGAGCCGCCGCCGCCGCGGAGAGGTAAGTCCGACCTAAGGCGGAGAAAAACCCGCCCGGGGGCGGGATGAGATTGAGATCGGCAAAGAGCCCTCTTGAGAGACACAAAATATTCTATTATTATTATTATTATTATTATTATTATTATTATTATTATTATTATTATTATTATTACTATTATTATTACTATTATTATTACTATTACTATTATTACTATTATTATTATTATTACTATTATTATTACTACTACTATTATTATTATTATTATTATTATTATTATTTGAAAGGTCGGTATTCTCGCTCGCAGTCGATAAAAAACGTCCCCTCTATTAAAAATAAACGGGGGAAGGGAGCTTGTCAAGACTGGGACGTCTCTCTGTGTCCTGTGTGTGTGTGTGTGTGCACAATGGGTTTGTTTGGTTTTTTTGGCAGCTGAATGCAACAAAATTTGATTTTAATGCCTGCTGATTGGCGTGCATGTAAAGCGTCGATAAAGTTTTTCTTCCGTTCTGTCAATTGATGGTGGCGCGGGGGGGGGGGGAGAGAGAGAGAGAAGAAAAAGGAAAGGGTCTCTCTGCGCATGCGCGCGATCCCCTTTGTCGGGGGAGGCGGGGCTGCTCGAAGGGAGCGCCTTTCCAGTGCTGGGGGGGGGAGGAGGGGAATCTCCCTGCGGAGATTAGGAAGAATAGAATAGAATAATGTGGACTACTACTGATGCTACTGAATGGTAATGTTGAATGCTAAGATTCAAACACGTTTCAGAATAGGATAACTTTATTGCCACTTGAAATGCACCACCGATGGGCGTACTTTAAAAGGAGATTTTGTTGCATACAGCTCCTAAGGGGTAACCGCCTCCAGCATACACTGCATAAACATGGCCCAATAAACAAATAAATATGCATATACCCACATACGCCTACATAGGTGGATCAGAGAAACAACCCAGGCTAGTTTGGATGTATACATGTACAGGGCAAGACAAACCAATCTTGCGAGTTTACCCGGAGGGATGGCCTAGGGCAGGGGTAGGCAACCTTGGCTCTTTTATGACTTGTGGACTTCAACTCCCAGAATTCCTGAGCCAGCATGGCTGGCTCAGGAATTCTGGGAGTTGAAGTCCACAAGTCATAAAAGAGCCAAGTTTGCCTACCCCTGGCCTAGGGAACAAAGCTGGCAGTCCTGCTAGCAATACTTCCGAAACCTCCTCCCGGAGCTTTGTTTAATGGCGGAAGGGGCATCTGTGGGTTGCTCCCCCTCTTCTTTTGACCATGGATCCTTTGAAAACAGTGGGGGGCTTCCCTCCCCCTTGTAAGGCAGGGAGTGTATTGAAAGCTGGGGATGTAAACAAACCACACACACACACACACACACCCAACTACCAAAAAAGGGAAGAGGAAAAATCCCCGGCCAGTTTGCATTGCAGGTAGTCCTCGACTTAACGACAGTTCATTTAGTGACTGTTCGAAACTACAACGGCATTGTCCAAAAAGTTTTTCACACTTAACGACCGCTCTCGGGTCCTCTTGGTCACACGATCAAAAATTCAGACGCTGGGTAGCTGACTTCATATTTATGACGGTTGCCGGGGTCTGAGATCATGTGATCGATTCCCCTTTTGCGGCCTTGGCCAGCTTGGCGATTGGACGTGCCTGTTAGATGGGGGGGGGCATTGTCTGATGCCTGGGATGGGTGTGAGATTGGAGAAGGCTGGTCTAGGGAGACAGACTGCCAGATGGCCCTTGGGGTATTGTTTAACCTCAAGGGGGGAGGGATTTCAATCTAATGGACTGAGCTTTGCATTAATTTGGGATGGTAGGGAAAAGGGGAAGGCATTGGAAGCAGTGAGACTGCCCTGGAGAGAATCCATGGTAAGGAAGGGAGAGCAAAAAAAAGAAAAAAAGCTATGGCAGAGACTTTATTTATGTATGCAATTAGGCAGAGTTGAATCGGTGTGAACACAGTAACATGGGTAAATAAACAACATTTTGGGAGCTCTTTCGTAATGGTTTTCCAGTTCTTGAGACGGGTTGGGCAGGATTTAGAGATCGGACCCCTGGAATGAGAAAAAGGAAAGGAAAATGTAAACAGGGGTTACAGTTGGTCAGTTGGGGCAACTGGAACTAAAGTTGAGATATTTATCGAAAAGAGAGTATTAGACTATTCTGGCGGCACTGATTACTATTATTAAGTATGTTTTGGGAGGTTGGGTATTTCGGGGGGGGGAGGGAAGCAAAGTCAAAAAAAAATATTTTATGTTCAGAAATTGGAAGGGTATCCGGTTAGGAATCCTTTGTGTTAACCTGGATTGTTTATAATACGATCCGTTGTGTAGTTAAGCGTATATCGCCTCCCCTTTGTTTTGAGTTAAAATCGGGTTTTTTTGTCCCGTTCCCTGCGGGGAGAAAAAAAAAATTGTAGGCCTTGCCTTTTGTTTATACAGTATCTGTGCTCAAGGTTGTTGTTAGGACAAAATGGAAACAAACTGCATTTATAACTCCAACTGAAAATTGTGCTTATCTTTGTGTGTGAGAAAGAGACCGATTGAGACAGGAAATGTTTTAGACTATTTTAAGCTGTCCAGTATCTTAGTAAAAGTCAGGTGGATAGACTCTGAAATATGTGGGCCCTTCAACCTGAGGAGAAGGCTCTTAAAATGCTAACCAGAAACACCATGCCTGTCTGCTCAAAACTGAGCTTTCTTTATTTGGGGTATAATAAGTCTACAAGAACTGGGGAATCTCTGTGTTCTTTTGTCGCCCTCTACAGTTACTCACAAGTTATTGTCATGGTGTGTACGTGACAAAGCTCTCCTATGCTTCCCCCCCCTCCCCTCAACATCCTCTTTGTTGTTAACTATGTGGTGAAAGGTGGGGAAATAGAAGCTTTTCCTAGTCCTTTAAGCAAGAGGGAACATTCGGTTTTGTGTTTTAACCCTTTTTCTTCTTTTCCCACTGGATGGTTTTATTACTTGAAAAAAAGCAGTTGGGCAGAGGGGATGAGTGGAGAAATGATTAATTCAGGATGTTAAAGGAATGCCCCTGCCTTTTACTGTAAGGCTCCCTTCAGGTAAAAAATTCTAGTGACTTTGAAATCATATATCTACCATTGGGCCTTTAGTATTGCGGTTCTGTGATACGTCTTGTTGGTCTTTGTCTTCTTGAGCTTCTGGCTCCAACTTTCCTGATGTTTGACATCTGCATTTGTATAGGGCTGGCTCCTGCTTGGGACAGAGAGATTTGGGGCTCTCAAGGAAAACTGGGCATGCTTTTCAAGTCTCTTTAAGATCCTTGAAGGAAATATATTTTTCTGCCCTTTTTAATATTTCCTTCTCTGAGGAGCTGACTTCCCACAGTCTCGTTGAAGCAAAAGCAGACTGCCAACCAACGTGGAGATTGGTTTGGTTGATTTTTTTCGCATTTGTAACGCCTCCTGATTCCACAGTGACTTTGGGAGGCACCGAAAATAGACATTCCTTTAGTCCAGCGGTTCTCAACCTATGGGTCGCGACCCCATTTGGGGTCGATCGACCATTTCACGGGGGTCGCCAAGCAAGGCTGTCCGCCATTTTTTCCCCCTTTTCCGGCGGGTGCCTTACCTTCCTTGGGCTGGGCCAGCTGGTGGTCGGCCTGCTCCGTCTCTGCCGCTTGCCAGCTATGCCTCGGCCGGCGCAGGGGGCGGAACCACGCATGTGCGGCGCTCCCGGGCAGAAAAAGTCCTCGACTTACGACCGGTTGGGTAGTCCTTGACTTACGACGGGTTTAGTCCTCGACTTACAACCGGTTGGGGGTCGCGGCATTAAAAAGGTTGAGAACCACTGCTTTAGTCTAACCCATCTCAGGAAAACCAGTAATGTCGTCTGTGTATTTAGTGCCCACCCACCCCCTGAAAACTTTATTTTCTTTTTTCCTAGATGAAGAGTATTGAAGCTGAAGAACAGATGAGCAGCTGGCTCTTCAAACAGCTGAAACTCCATTTGGATCAGGAATGGAAATACCAGCCGAGGGAAAAAGGGCTGAGTCTGATTGAGTGCACTACTGAGGTGAGGAGATCCGAAGTCTGCCATTTGGGTGTGATGAAGAACCTCCGCTGATAATGACCTGTTTCTGGAGGAAGTGGCCAGGAGCAGTGGGGGGGTGTGTGTCTTAATGCAGTCAGAGCAGGAAGCTGTGGGTGTTAATAATTTGTTTTAGAGCAGTTTGCTTTGTATTGATAGATTGCTAGTCAATAGCACCCAAATAAAACACACTGTTAAGAAATCAGAATTAGTCAAAAAAAAACAAACCCTGAACCGGGAGGACAATTTCCTTTTGAAAAGAAAACCTCGCAATTAAAATATTTTAAAAGGAAATGTCACCAAGGAAATCCAGACCCATAAACCAGCCATCGCAGATGCAGATTATCCCAGGAAAGGTGGGGGACACCTCAAGAAAAGACCACTTAAGGGATAAGCCAAACCAAATTTAAAAGACCAAAGAAAAGTTTTTTCCCCCCTCCCACCCTGAGCAATTCTAGGCAAGAATTGTTTAGCTAAAAGAAACATTCTGAGGACAGGAAACTGCAGACACATGCCTTGGACAAACAATCAAACCCATGATCCTACTAGATAGGAGCAATATAACGCTAACAAAACAGACATTAACCACATATAGAAACCCATTGCATAAACAAAGAAACATCTCCTAGGATCAATATTTTAGACTGACGCTCCCGGTCTAAACAAATACAAACTAGAAGAGATCAGGGGAACAAATACCTTTACAAAATCTAAATCATAATCTCAATAACTCAACAGGTACAAAAACAAGACCTTTCACCTTGGGAAGGCACTAGCTAGTCCAGAAACCATCGTTAGTCTGGTTTCTGCAATAAATCTTCTTTCTGGCAGCTTGCTTCATTTTGTGTCAATGCTTCTGTCTGAGCTGAAGGTCTGCTTCTCAGCTGGAAACACGAACCACGGGGAATTCTTCCTACAGTATAAAACAGATCTATTCAAATGTTCCAATTCAGCATAATAAACTAGGGCTTATTCTACTAGTAAAAAGTGCTGGATCTTGGCTTCCCACCTTTTACAACAGATATTTAAGCAGCTTGTCACCCTTGATTTTTTTTTAAAGCTATTGGAGCATTGC